TGAAGGAGTTTTCCCCTATGTTGTCTTCAAGGGGTTTTATGGGTTCAGGTATTACATTTAAGTTTTTAACTCATTTCGAGTTAATTTTTTGTACAGTGTAAGATGGGGTCAAATTTCATTCTTTCGCCTGTGAATATTCAGTTTTCCTAACACCATTTATTGAAGAGACTATTCTTCCTCTATTGCATATTCTTGACGCCCTTGTCAAAGATTATTTGACTGCATGTATGTGGGGGTTTATTTCTTGCCTCTCTGTAGATAATTCCATTGGTCTATGTGTCCATTTTTAGATCAGTATTATACTGTTTCGATTACTGTGATTTGAAATCAGAAAGCATGATGCCTCCAGCTTTGTTCTTTTTTCTCAGGATTACTATTCAGGGTCTTCTGTGGTTCCATACAAACGTTAGGATTTTTTTTTTTCTATTTCTGTGGAAGGAGCCATTGGACTTTTGCTAGGGATTACATTAAATCTGTAGATGGCTTTGGGTAGGGTAGGTTGAACATTTTAACAATATTAATTCTTCTGATCCATAAACGTAGTATATCTTTCCATTTATTGTGTTTTCTTTAATTTTCTTCATCAATGTCTTAAAGTTTTTCAGTGTATAAATCTTTCACCTCCTTGGTTAAATTTATTCTTAAGTACTTTATTATTTTGGTGCTATTGTAAATGGAATTATTTTCTTCATTTCTTTTTCAGATAGTTCATTGTTAGTGCATTGAAATGCAACTGATTTTTTGCATGTTGATTTTGTATCCTGCAGCTTTACTGAATTTATTCATTAGGTCTAACAGTTTCTTGGTGGAGTCTTTAGAGTTTTCTATGTATACGATCATGTAATCTGCAAACAAAGACAATTTAACTTCTTTCTTTCTGGTTTGGATGCATTTTATTTCTTTTTTTTTTTTTTGCTTAATTGCTCTGACTAGGACTTCCAGTACTATGTTGAATAGAAATGGGCATTCTTGTCTTGTTCCTGAACTTAAAGAAAAAGCTTTCAACCTTTCATCATTGAGCATGATGTTAGCCGTAGGTTACACGGTCTTTATTATGTTAAGGTGTGTTCCTTCTATGCCTTATTTATTGAGAGGTTTAGTCATGAAGGATGTTGAATTTGTCAAATGCTTATTATTTTTTTGCATCTATTGAGATGATCATGTAATTTTTATCTTCTATTTTGTTAATGTGGTGTATCACATTATAGATGGTGTGTCTCCCTCTGGGACCCTGGGTAGGTTGGGACTGCTCCTGGACCACAGCTAAGAGGGGCTACAGCTGGATTCCAGGCTGCTTCAGGGTCCACAGTGAGAACCAAATATAGTGGGCCTGTTATCTGGGGCATGGACAGGTCTGATTCTTGCTGGGTCCCTTGGCGGATGATGCTGGTGACAGGGCCAAGGCCAAATGGAGCTGTAGTTGCGTCCACAGGGTGATGGTCTGTTTCTGGGTCTGTAGCTGAGACCAAGGTCAGTGAGTCTGCCACTCGAATTGGGGGCAGTCGACTCAAAATTGCCCTTCTTGATTTGAGGCTCCTCCAGGGATTCGCAGTCTCCTATCTGAATCCCAAAAGTCCCACAGAGGTACCTCTGTCCATGGATGGATGCCAAATTATGCTGCTGAAGGAGGGTATGATAGGTGACCCCCTATTCTGCCATATTGCTGACATCACTTCCTGATCTTTACATCTCTTGATGGCCCAGAATGTGTGGCTGTGGCCTGTCCCAGGTCTGGGTGGAATCCACGCCAGGGGGAGATGAGACTACAGGGGGTGCTGGGTGCTCCTTCTTCCTATTCCCCCCAAATTACCTTGTGGGCTCTATCACCAGGACTCCAGTTCACCCCCAAACCCGATCTTTTCCTAGCAGGAGCTGGGAACCTATACACTGCCTTTGTGTGAAGTAGAGAAAAGTGTCATAGGATGGGGGAAGAATTACAGGAGAGGCCCCCTTGGCTGGATCAATAAGAAAGAAGCACTTTTTCTGGCAGTCTCCACAGCCTTGGCAGCCAGTGGCCAATTTAGGGAACAGCACTCTGTCCATCCAGTTTTACATGTTTGCAGGCCCATGAGGCATCCGAGCTGCCCTCTTTCCCTTACCCTGCTCTCAGTATTGGATTCATGGTCATGCCTATTGATTTCACCTTTTGATTCTGTCCACTTCTCTGCATCTTGGTCTCCACTAGGATCACCCTAGTTCAGGACTCCATCATCTCTTGCCTGGAAGCCTGCCACAGCTTCCTCAAGGGCTCTCCCCAGATCCACTCAGGACCCTTTCTCCCCACCCCCAATTTATATTCCAACACTCCAGCCAGCGTGACTTTTGAAAACACAAATCGGATCATATCCATCCTTGCCCCTAATCTTGTAAAGGCTTCCCATTATTTTTAGGATCAAGACAAAACTCATCCCTTGGCCAAAAAGGACTTGCAGACCTGCACGACCCACATAACCCACATCCAAACTACCTTTTCCACCACATCTCACAACTTTCCTCCTCAAAGTTCTAGCACTGCGATGGCTATGTGACCTTGGATGTGTTGCTTAATCTCTCTGAACGTCATCTTCTTCACAAAAAAATGGATTAAAATGAGATATCCCTGGCCCAAGGCATAGTAACTCAGCACTGGTAATGTTATCATTCCTGACTCAGACCCTTTAGAAACGCTGCTACATTGAATCCTCTCCAGAACCTGATGATATGTGAGTTTGAAGCCTCAGCAACTCGCCACAGGACAGCTTAAATTTCAAAGCCTAGTTCAGGCCTGTTCCTAGGGCTTTGCTTTTATGGACAGCTGTGCTCAGTTTTCTAAGCTTTCTTGGGCAATTAGGGGCTTCCTAAATATTTCACTTTTCTCCATCCTTGTGACATCTTCAAGAGCAGGACTCTTCTGAAGGAGTCCAGGTTTCGCTTAAAGTGGGCATTCCCTGGTTTTGAAGAAGGGGGCTTTGAGATCTTTGCAAATGCCCCGCACACATACATCAAAATGGTCCCCTGTTTCTGGTGCCATTTTTGTCAGAGTGCACCTCTCCTCTTTTCTTTTTTTATCTTCTTTTGTTTCTATTCTTTATTTTTTATTTGCACCTCCCTTCTTATAAAGCTGCCACCAATGTGACTTTAGCCTAATTAACTCCAGGGACTTCCATTGGAGTCTTGTATGAATTGATGGGTAAGGAGAAGGGTCCTCTGTGGTCAGGAAGGGCCCTTCATTGGTAGACAGCTGTCTTTGTAAATTTCAAGCTATTTAATTTTTTTGTAAAAACCATGGTTAATCAGTTAGGTGTGAATATTGAACACCTTCCTCTTTTTGAGCTTCCTGGGCAACAAAATGTAAAATAAGTAAATCGGAAACATTGAAAACAAAAAAGAGAAGTCAATGACTCCAGCATAAGCACAATTATAATTTTGATTGGTTTAATTCCTGATCATGACTTAGGCAGCAGCTGATTGGAGCCAAGCAGTGTGCAAGCCCTGGGCAGCAAGGAGCACCAGGAAGGGAGCTACTGGTGAGGACTTTGTGATATTTTGAAATAATATGAAAAATATCACTCTACGTTTATCTGCTTTCTAGTCAGATGCAGAATGTTAAGGCTTCTTACATAGTTAAGGATTAGATTGGCTATGATTGAGGCCTAGGTGGGACCTAAGGCATGCCTCTCAGGATTTTTGTGGATAGCTTTTGAAATCTTTTTCCCCACCGTGAACTGCCTCTAGACTCCAGACCAAGGTGTTTTGGATTCCACACTGTGCTTTTTGTCTCTTTCCAGCCCTGTGACCTTGCTGAGCAATTTTTCCAATCTCTTTGGACTTCTCCTCATCTCTACATAGGACATATCTCATTTCCGTATCAATGTCTTTTCCAGGGCTGACCTTCTGTGGTTCCTTGGAATTTCTTTAAGGCACTTTTCCGGTAAAGGAATCCAGTGACCAGCCTCAGCAGAACCCCAGTGTTAATTCTGGAAGAGACGCTAACTCAACAAGGTTGCCCAAGGTTGCACAGCTGGTTGCTGCCCTGAATCAAGTTTTTATTGTTGGCAAAAGGGAAATGAACAGGAAACTCAAGGTAAAGCATTTGATTTTCTAAATGAAAACAGCTCCATCCTCTCGTGTTTGGGTGATCAAAGGAATTCTTGCTCAACGTAAACAACTCAGAAAACAGAGGCAAGTATAAAGAAGAAAAATGAAAAGTAATAGTAATCCCATCACACATGAAAAGCAATAGTGATGCCAATAAGCAGGAATAACATTCCTGTCTATAGTTTGGGAGTTTTTTTCCTAGGAGGAGTACCCACAAATGTGCATTAATGCTCTACAAATATATTATATTTACATTCATACTATATTTATATTCATATGTTTTATTTACATAGGCACGTATTATATATAATATATAACATAATTAAATACAAAATATATATCACATATAATTAATATATTTTTCCCCCACGAGCGTGCAGTCAACATTGTGTGCATGACACTGGGGATCCTTGCGCACTACCTATTCTTTGGGGGAACCCCGCCAGAGCGGAAGCGGCCGCACATGGTGCGGGGCGCAGCAATTCTGTGCACCTGAACTACAAGTCCCAGCAGCCCACAGCGCGGGCCGGGCTACCGGAGTATGGAGAGACTACAAGTACCGGCAGCCACGGCGCAGACGCCGGGACTACGAGTCCCAGAATGTACTGCTCGCGGCTCGCGCACGGCCCTCCGGGATTTGTAGTCGTTGGTGGGGAGCTAATTCCTATTCATTCAGTCGCAAAGAAAATGCCAAGTTCTCCAATGGCCCACCGACACGATTTTTCAAGGGCTAGCGAGGAACCCTAGCACACTATGGAGAAGTAAGAGCTCCTCGGGGCCCAAACTGTAGCACTGGAGCAGAACGCGTGCGCATGCTCCGCGGTCGACGGCGCGGGCGAAAGCGCGCGCGGGAGGCCTCGAGCGGCAGGTCCTGTCTCTGACCCCTCCCCCGCTCCCGGCGCGCCCCGCCCAGGGAGCCTGCGCAGATAGTGCAGGGCGGAGGGCCGCGAGGAGGGACTCGCGGCGCCTGCGCAGAGCGGCGGCTTCTCTCGCGAGGACGGACGCCATTATCGCATCTCCCCGACAAACACCACGAGAATTCCGCAGCCCACACGGTAATTGCAGCTCCCGCAGCCGGTCGCGTCTCCACCTCCCCCTTCCCGCGGGGCGAGAGCGAGAGCGAGATCTCCCCTCCTCCCTCCTCCCTGCGCCCTCCTCCGGCCGCCGCGCCCGCCGCCCCCTCCCGGGACGCCCTGCCGGTTCCGCCAACGGCCCACTACCCCCGCCCGGTAGCCCCCTTTCGCCCCCGGGCCCCGCCGCCCGCCTGAACCCTGCCGTCACTCCTCCTTCCCCCGCCGCTCCGCTCAGCCCTGTCAACCCCTCCGGACGCCCCCTCGGCCTCAGCGGCCCTGGGTCCCGCCGCCCCCCTCTGCCCTGTCAGCCCCCCGGTTTCTGCGGCCCCCATGGCCCCCCGCGCTTCCTCCCGTGGGCGCACGGCGCTGTGACCCGGCATTCCTGATACAGGGGGGGCCGCCTCACAGGGCCGTTCTCTAACCACAGGAGACTGTTGATGTCTTTTCATTAATTTTCTTTTGCACTTGCACCACCCCCACCCACCCGTATTGCCATGCTGCGCGCTGGTTAGGACGGTCCGGGTGACACGCCCGGCCCCCGGTAGCTGCCTTTAAACTTGGGGAGCAGCCCTGCGAGAGGTGCTCCCAGATGTCCCGAGGGCTGCCCTGCAGACGGACGGCTCGCAGCTGCAGGAGGGTGCAGGCTGGGTCTATCATTTTTCTCGTGGGAAATGGGAAAACTGAAAACGCACCCAAAAGACCCTGCAGCGTGGTAGTTCCTGTCAGTCTGACTTCCGACTTGGTTGACATCCTGAGTTAACCAACGTGAAATGGAGCCCCGAGAGTCAGGAACACAAACAGCGTTCTCTTAATTTGCTTACGGCTTCACAAAGGGAAGTAGGGACATAAGGTGCCGTTTTAGGAATAGGCAGGTTTAGACCTCGGAGAGAATCGGATTCTGCTCTCCTCCCGGCCTTGGTGAAGGAGGATTTCAGGTGCTTTCACCCCCCTATACTTTTTTGCTTTTTCTGTGGATTAGTCCTTTTGAAATGTGGCCTTACTTTTTTTGCTTTGAAGTCCCCCTCCCCCACCATGGCTGCAAAAAGTCGATGTACATTCTATCTCCACTGTGAGTGAATTGGAGACATTGCCTTAATAGAAGACGAATTTTTCACTGATGAGATGGTAGGGATTGTCTTGATATTGGAGAAATAAATATTCCCGAGAGAACTGTTAACACGTGCAACTTCCAAGGATGGAGAGCTTGCCTGCCCTGAGAGGGAAGGGGGGTCCAGGTTAGAGTCTGGGAGAAAACAGGTGATTGCTCTTTATTTGGAGTTACCTGTTCTTCCTGCATGTACCCCAAGGGATGCGCTGCAAGGCCTGACCATGTTGGCAAAACTAGCACTAAGATCAACTAGTTGATGAGACAGTCGTTTCTAAGGGTAGACTTGTAACTGGAAGTTTGGGAAAGAAAAATAACTTGGGCTGGATAGTTGAGGGGTCCCTCAGTACCGGAGGGAAGTGTTACATCAGAAAGATGATTGGATCAATTAACATTGAGCTGCTTTGACAACCCTGGGGTACAAATATCCAGTGGTGAAAACAAACACCAAAACTGCCTGTAAAGTCAATTAGAATAAGAATATGTTCTTGTCATGTTGTATTCTGCCATCATTGGCTTTAATTTTTAAAAAGACAGCTGCCATTTATGGGAACCTGTGTTGTGGCTGGGACTTAATCATTTCCAGTGTTTCTCATCACAACCATCCAGTGAGGTAGAGACCGCCTGTTTTATGGATGAGGTGACTGAGGTCCACAGAGGTTAAGTGACTTGCCTAAGACACAGCCAGGGTTTGAATATTTAAAAAAAAAGTGTATTTAATATTTTAAAATAAGGTACATAATGGAATGTCAATGAAAACCATGAGCAGCAGCAGTCTCCCGTCCAACCTTTCAGTTCCCCTCTTCAAAGACTTTTATATCGTTTTGTTTCTTCAATAAGTTCTTCATAGCTCTAAATGATAAGCTGGTGTTTTATTAATTTTACACATTTTTAACTTTCTATTATACTATGATTTAGCTTTTCATATCATATCCCACCTCTTCTATCCCCTGAATTCAGTATGTTCAGCTAACTCATTGTTTATAACTATGCAAATGTTGTTTGCTTCACGGCCAAGTAGTGCATTACCCTTATACAGCTGTTGGTTTTTTCTGTTGTTTGTAATGGCCTTTCTTTTTCTTCTGCTCCTATTGGCTGCTTACATTGTTTTAAATTCTCAAGGATAGTGTCAAATCTCTCCAAACTTCCCCCTCCTCTCTATCCTTCTGTCCTCTTTCTAATCTGGATTGATTACACCAGCACAGGTATCATCCTGATATTTTCCTTTATTATACATCTGGGTTTGCTCAGGACTCCATGTTTTTAATCGTCGCTTTCTTCATTTCAATGAGAACCTTCTGCCAAGTAGCGTTACTCCTTTTGGGTGACTTTTTAGGGTCCTCTTTGGTTTTAGAACATTTCCAGAGTGCCAGAGGATGTGGAGTCCCATTCCAAATGCTCTTTGTTTCTGGGGCCTTGTCCTCAGCTCTGGGAAAGTCTCTTGTATCATTTATTTGAGAATTTCTTCCGCTCTGCTTTTACTCATCTCCTTTCCAAGTTCCTGCTAGTTTGATGATGGCTATCTTGAGCCCTTGAATCTCTTGTCTGTATTTTCTTCCTGTGTCACTTTATTCTTATTTCTGGGAGAAGGCTTCAATTTATCTTCCAATCCTATTTAGAATTTTTTATCCATAATTGAAATGTGAATTTCCAAGAGTGTATTTGTTCTGTTTCTTTTTCGCAGTAGTTTATTGGTTTTTGAATGCAGTATCTCCTTGACTCGGATATCAATAAAGATTTTTTTCAGTTCTTTTTTTTTCGATCTCGTTTCATCTAGTGTCACTGCCATCATTGTCTTCTTTTAAAAAATACTGGCTTCTTGCTTTGTAGGCAAGTACTCCTCAATTATTGGTAATTGTTGTCTAAGGCAAGAAGGAAGCGGACAGAGAGATTTGAGTCTGTGGGACTGGTTTTAAAATGTGTGAGTTTCCCTTTAGGTGATTGAGAACTTGTTACTGTGCTTGGACCTCAAATGCCAGATGGCAGAGAGGTTTTCTCTGGCCTTTTAGCTTAAGGAAGACCCCTTGGATTGAGGGCTGCTTTTCTGTATCGGGACTGTGTTCCTTGTGCAGGCGCAGCCCTCACCCTCACCCTCTCCTGAAGGTCCTGGGTTTGGGTCCCAGCCTGCTGCAGCTTAGAGCCCTCCTTGGGTTGTACCTTCTCTTGTGTGCTGCAGGTTGCTGTTTTCTTAGTCTTTTTGTAGAACCTCTTGCCCGCCGTTTTCTTTTCTTTCCTGTGGATTTATTATACGCTGTTAAAAATCATTTTGATGGGATGAGCAGAGGTCACGTGTGTACCGGCCAGCCCTTCACTGTGAGCAGTTCTAGAGCCTGTGCTCCTCACTCTGCTCCTCTCTCCTGCCTCCCAATGGCCTTGGTGATGATGCCCACCATCAGTGGGACGTGCAGCCAGGTCATGATGCCCACAGCAGCTTCCCTGGTGCAGTGTGGGTAGATGGTACGCATTCCTCGTGGAGGTTCTCCTGGCTCCGCAGCCTTGGAGGGGTGCCAGGCTCAGCTGGGGAAGGCCAACCATAGATGTGTATTGTAGCAAAGATTGCAATTTCAGATTCTTTAGTCGGCTTCTCACTGTATGTACTAAGAGAGAGCAGTTCAGCGTGCCAGAGTTTAAGGAATACCTCTAGTTAAGCAGGGATTACTGTACTCAGTACAATCTTGATGCATTATAGTCGCTTGTGCTTTGGAAATTGTGCGCAGTGAAATGCGTCAGCTGAGTTTGCCAAGGCCTTGCTAGTGAAGTGGTCCACCAGCCAGCAGCAGCAGCGTCACTGGGCGTTTTAGAGAAATGCAGACTCTCAGGCCCTGCCCAGACATATGGAATCAGAACCCGCAGCTTTGTAAACCTAATTTTGAGGTTGCAAAAATAGTTTAGAGAGCTCCCCTACTTTCTTCACCCACTTCCCTAATGTTGACATCTTACATTATCAGATATCCTTATAAAAACCAGAAAATTAACATCGGCACAGTACTAGTAAATTACAGACCATATTGAACGTATTAACATGCTTTTTCTGTTTCAGGATCTAATCCCACTCTTCATTCAGTTGTCCCATCTCTTTAAATCTCCAATCTGTGATATTTACATATCCACAAAGTATCTCCCCTGAGATATTCATAAAATACAAAGGGAAAAAAAGTAACTTCACAGTAGAAAAACCCAGCAGATATCACTTTAACATCACCAGTAATAAGACATGATGATATTATGTACCTGTGTATGACGCACTGAGACAGAAATGCATACCCTCAGCCTAATCATGAGAAAACCCAAAACTGAGGGACAGTCACCAAAATCCTGACTGGTACTTCTCAGAAGTCTCTAGTTTGTTTGGCTTAAACAACAGAAATTTATTTTCTCTTAGTTCCTGGAGACTAGAAATCTGAGATCAAGATGTTAGCAGGTTTGGTTCCTTCTGAAACCTCTCTCCTTGGTTTGCAGATGGCCACCTTACTGTGTCCTCACATGGTCTTTCCTCTGTAAGCACAGGTGTCTGGTGTCCTTTCATGTGTCAGGATTTCCTTTTCTTATGAAGATACCAGTCAGATTGGATTAGGGCCCACCTTAATGGCCTCGTTTTAACTTAATCACCTCTTTAGAGACCCTGTGTCCAAATACAGTCACATTCTGAGATACTGGGGCTAAGTTTTCAACATGAATTTCGGGGAGACACAGTTCAGTCCTTAACAGGCAATAAGAAAAATTTACTTTGCCTAAATATTTTTCTATATTGTTTCTGTAATGTTTTAGTATTTTACAAGGAGCCCTATTTATAATTTGGAAAAGCAATAATGTTAGAACAAAACAAAAAAAATCCTTTGTGTTTACATTTAAAATGTAATTAGATTCTAGGCTTAGA